GATTTCAGGATCAGCAGCAGCAGGGATGTTGTCTTGAGGGTCAGCTTCGGCAAGGGCAGCCGATTCTTCTTTCGAAATGGATGAGTCTGATGCCATGTATGGCGGTCGACCCATCTGAGAAGTAGTCCCCTCGCTGTCTGAAGAGACCCCTGCTGCTGATGCGATTGGTGAAGGTGTCTGTGAAAAATTATGGAAATGTTGTTGTTAAATACACCAAGGTTGATCATTAGAATCCTAAGTATTGCTGATGAGAGGACTTACTGGTTCTATAGGCAGTGCTGGTAAAGCTTGCCTCCTGGTCGGGTGCCTGCCCCGACCGCTCCTCGGTACAGGAGGAAGAGTTTGCCTCTTTGTCGGGTCCTCCGCCCGACTGCTCATTGGCAAAATGATGAGTGGAGTAGGGGTTTGGAGAGGAAGTGCCTGAGTCTGGACCAAAGGTACGATTGAATGGTCGGCTGGGGCTGGCGTCGTTTGTGTGGTCGGTGTTACTAAGGTCGGTTCTGGTAAAAGACATGAGTGAAATCAAAGTTAAGATATAGTGAATTGGTTCACGATTTTCAGAAAAATTACCAATTCGGGGTCGAGTCCTTGCTGACGTCCTAGTAGTTCCAAGGTCCGCCGGAGCTTGCTGGTCGGCCCCAGAGGTCGGGGGTGTTTGCAGCTGGGAAGCTTTCCTTTTCCGCATTGGAACGCTAGATCCGATTCCCGGGGCGGCTGTTTGTTGCTGAGTGCTAGTATGTCTAGCCGCCCCTAGAACCAATCCTTGGGGGGGAAGGAGTACGTTCAGCAACCGATCCTCATCAGGGGAAATCAGGGGCCATACAACCGACCACCATTCATTGAATGTATCTACAGTCTCAGGGTTGGAGCGGAAAGGAATATAAGAATTGGAAACTATATACGTGGTGAGCTGGGAGATATAAGAAGGGATTGAATTAGGTAGGACTCGTCGGTCAGGACTTTGAAAAATTATATGAGGACAAGCGACGGGTCCAGGGATACCTTGGCAGCAGCCGAACTGGCGCGCCATGAATTGAGGTTCGTAATTAAAGGTGCAAAAAGTTTTTTGCCCTTTTTTATCAAGTTTTTTACTGCTAAAAAGAGACCTGGGTTTGAGGGCAACGTCCCAGGCAAAAGGATAAGTGGGATGAGGACAAGTCTCAGGAGTCGGAAGAGGATTTGGTGCCGGAAAAGGCCAAAAGTGGTCGGGAGCATAACCCGCATATTTTTTATACATAGAAAATCGAGAGTTACTGCGGGTATCTGTCAAAATTGTGGTTATTATTGGGTCGGAGGATTGGAGTTTACTGCGTCCTGAGCAGAGTCGGTTGAGGGCTAATCCCAAATGTTTTTCGGATATTGGCATAGTGGGTGGAGATCCTAAGTTGAACGCGTTGGGGAAGTAAAGACGGAGCCAAAGTTCTAAAAACCAAAAAGGACCCGACGCGGCGGTGTCTAATTTTCTATTATCATTATCTGTTAAACGAAGGCTAACTCTAGTGAGTCCTTCAAACAGATTGGCTAAAAACAGAGTGCCAAGGGAAAAGAAACGACCTGACGCGATATGAATGGCCAGGTCGAGATGAGAAGAAAGAACGCATTTAGAAGGGGAAACAATGACGTACCTACAAAGCCAAAAAAGAATAAAGGCAGTATGCTCCCGGTCGGTCACGGGGGTTCCTGGAGCCCCTTGCTGGTCAATCGCGAACTTTGTCCAGCCCCATTCCTTCACGCCTTGTAAAGACCACCCTGGATGGTCTTCTGGTGGCTCCTGCCCATCTAGGGCTCCCATCACAGGGTCTTCACCCACGACTGGGAGATGAGCGATCATCGCTACATCCATAAGAGTTGGACTAAAGGGGCCCGACGGTAAGAGAAAAGTCCCATTTTCCGCATTTCAGAAGGCCGACATAGCTAGGAGCACCTTCTCGTGCAGATTGATCGGCATGGTAGACAATAGAATCGCTTGGTCGATTTTTTGAGATCGCCATTGGGTCTGGAAGTGTTCTGATACCCGTCGATACCAAGAGCGATAAGGATCTTTTGGGTCTGTGAGATGGGTTTTGATGCTGTCTCGAATGCGAACTGCTTGGTAGTTAGGGTTGTTGATAGCCAAGGAATTTCGGGATTCCAAAACTTCCCTCATTCGATTTGAGTCTTCAGGAGTAGTGCAGTATGGGCGGATCGTCGGAGTTAGTACTTTCGAGGCTGAAAAGGGGCCCTCTGGGAGGTTTCCGTCGAAGGGAAGGGCAGGAATGTATCGATTCGCCATGGTTATAGTGGTTGAGATTGTGATTCACAAAGGCTCGTATTGCGGAAAGGGAAGTTAATCAGGAGTGTTGCAGTAACTGGTGCAGTTGCTAAGGGAATTTTTCAAGAGGGTGGTGATTTATGAACTTCCAAACATCGATTGATAAATGGCGTTTGAAAGTCCCTTGGCGGCGGGCAAGTTGTTACGTATGAAATTTAGAGTTAGGTTAAAAAGCCCAAGGTAAAAGAAAAATGGGCCTGGCAATAGAGTTGATTGAACTGGCTGAAGGACACCGTGAGGAAATCAAGGAAAATAGGTTTATTTCTAAGGAAAATACAGGACGGAAAGACCTCAGGTTGGAAGGTCTTCAGGTCGGGAGGTCCTCAAGACGGAAAGTCCTCAGGACGGAGAGACCTCAGGTCGGAAGGTCTCCAGGTCGGGAGGTCCTCAAGACGGAAAGACCTCAGGTCGGAAGGTCCTCAGGTCGGGAGGTCCTCAAGACGGAAAGTCATCAGGACGGGAAGTCCGCAGGTCGGGAGGACCTCAGGTCGGAAGGTCCTCAGGTCGGGAGGTCCTCAAGACGGAAAGTCATCAGGACGGGAAGTCCGCAGGTCGGGAAGTTCTCAGGTCGGAACTCTGCGGCGGGACCAACAAGTCGGATGGTTTGTTAGTCGGGATGTCTGTAGCTAATCCAAACAAGTCGGATGGTTTGTTAGTCGGGATGTCTGTAGCTAATCCAAACAAGTCGGATGGTTTGTTAGTCGGGATGTCTGTAGCTAATCCAAACAAGTCAGATGGTTTGCAAGTCGGGAGGATTAGCAGTCGGACCAATACGGCTGTAGATTGGCAGTCGGGCCAAAAGGGCGGAAGGTCTGTGGTCGGCTCAAAGAGTGAAATATAGTGACAATTTTGGTCCGCTGAGGACACGTGTCAGCAGGAGAAGGGTTGGAAGACGGTTGGAAAGGAGACGTTGTAACCGTTCGGGCGACGGTTTTCAGTACAGTTTCCCAGAGAATATTTAAGGGTTTGGATCATCATTTGGCAGGGTATCTTCAATCAACTTCAACAAAGCAAAGTCAGATTTGGGGATCACCACTTTAAATTTCAGTCTTTTATTTTCCAGTTTATTTTCTGTACCATACAGTGTTTAGAGATTCCTAATCTCAGGCACTAATTAATCAAGTTTAAGGATATTTTCTATATCTTTGAATTTTACTTTATTTTTGTTGAAAAATTACATCAACAAAAATATTATAAATACTTTTAAAAAAATCAATTGAACAATCAATTTCAAATCAAATAATGTGTTCATTTCTTTATAAAATGATTCTAATTCATTAATATAAAATTCAACTACAAAAATATACTCATATACTTAACTAAAAAATTATAATTATTACGATATTACAAATATATAAAAATTTAGAGTATTTTTTTAATTTACTGGGCCAACTCAACACGGGACTTGAGTTTGCACCCGAACAGTTTTTTGTAATTTTTATTTTACAATTCAATATATATTGTTTGTATTTAAAATAGAAAGTTCCGATAAAAAAAAAAATAGAAAGTTACATTGAAGTTTTGTTTAAATAGTATATAAATATAATAGTTTATAAGAAAAAATGGTGTATTTACGGTGAATAATGTTAATTTTTATTTGAAATATGATTTGAATTTTGTTTTGTTTAAATAATATTTTTATTTCGTAAAAGAATATAATATATTTTTATTAAAAGTCAATAGTGATATTTTGCATTTAAAACAATGATACAAAATCACTTAACTAAAATTAAATTATTATAAATAAATTTTTATTTTTCTTATTTTTAAAAATATTTAAATTATTATAAATGAATATCATTATTAAAACAAAACATATGTGAAATATTTAGTGTTAAAATTAACAAAAATGTGTATATAAATAATTTTTGAATAAAAACAATAATTTCATATACTCCTTTCGATCCGTCCCATAACAAGGCATTATATTAGTATTATAAGACACTATTAGAAATATTTTTGCAACTTTTCCTTCGATTTGTAATACATTTTCATATAATAATTAATATCTTAAGATCAACACACAAAAGTAAATGGATGTTTAGTTATAGGATATCTTAAGATCAACACACAAAAGTAAATGGATGTTTAGTTATAGGACGGAGGGAGGGAGTAATATCTTTTTTAAAAAATACATTACAAATATAAATAAAAAAATATTAAAGTTAATTAATGTAAACATGATTATAATTTTTATGAATAGAATAAAAATATAAAATTGTACAACAACCCTAATGTATATATATATATACAAAAATATTAAATTTAAAATTGTTGAAACGGTCAAACTAGTATATATATATATATATATATATATTTAATCCAAAAAAATATAGAATATTTTGAACAATATAATGGTGATAAAATATAACTTGAAATTTAATAATTGTTGTTTCATACAATCTATAATCACGGAGTTGTTGACTTTGCAAATCGCTATATTATCTACTGATATGTTATATACTATTAATTAATTAATGTATTATATATTTAAAAAAATAATAAAATTGAGAGATGACTAAATCAAATTGTGCATGTGAAACGCAATCATTGTTGTAACGGAAATATATAACGGATAATTTCTTAATTCTATTCGGTTAGGACTATATATAAACCCCTACATAGTGCCTGACTGTCCTACTTCAAATAGTATTATCAATCCAATATACACCTCTTTGCTGTTATATCAATGGCTCCTGAAGTTGCAGCCGTTACTGGTGGAGGAGGCAGTGATTTTCCGGCGAGACTCACCGCTCAAGTGGTGGTTTGTTCGCTCATTGCGGCCTTCGGCGGCCTCATGTTTGGCTACGATATAGGAATATCAGGTAATTTAGGAATTAGGGTTTTACGTTTCTTGTATATATATCCTAATTAATTAGGGTTTGTTGGATGATTCGGATTTGATTTGATTGATGATTGTTTGTTTGTTGTGGACAGGTGGCGTGACGGGAATGGACGAATTCCTGTTGAGATTCTTCCCGGGTGTTTATGAGAAGAAGCACCATACGAAGGAGAACAACTACTGCAAATTCGACGATCAGCTGCTCCAGCTCTTCACCTCGTCGCTCTACCTGGCCGCCGTCGTCTGCAGCTGGCTCGCCTCCTTCTCCTGCAACAAGTTCGGCCGGAAACGCACCATGCAGATGGCCTCCGTCTTCTTCTTGGTCGGCGTCGGACTCAACGCCGCCGCTCAGAACCTTGGGATGCTCATCGCCGGGAGGCTCTGTTTGGGCGCCGGCGTCGGATTCGGGAACCAGGTAATCAATCAATCAATCAAATTAATTCATTTCTTTAATTAAATTTGATTCTGATTTTCATTTTGGTTTTGGCAGGCGGTGCCGGTTTTCATATCGGAAATTTCTCCGGCGAAGTACCGCGGAGGGCTGAACATCTGCTTCCAGCTGATGATCACGATCGGGATTTTAGTGGCCAACGTCGTTAACTTCTTCACATCGAAATTGCACGACGGCTGGAGATATTCCCTCGGCGGCGCCGGGTTTCCGGCGATATTCCTCGGGCTGGGATCCCTGATCATAGTGGAGACTCCGACGAGCCTGATCGAGCGGGGCCACAAGGAGCAAGGCCTGAGAAGCCTCCAGCGGATCCGCGGCGTGGGCGCGGAGGAAGTGAAGAAGGAGTACGACGAGATCGTCCGCGCCACCGCCGCCCAGGCGGAGCATCCGCACCCCTTCCGGAACCTCCTGACGAAGAAATCGAGCTTCCCCCAGCTTTTCGTCGCCACAATTTTCCAGGTCTTCCAGCAGTTCACCGGAATCAACGTGGTGATGTTCTACGCGCCGGTTCTGTTCCAGACGATGGGCCTGGGGTCCGACGCGTCCCTCCTCTCGTCGGTGGTGATGGGCACAGTGAACGTGTTGTCGACTCTGGTGGCCGTGTTCGCCGTGGACCGGTTCGGGCGGCGGGTCCTTCTGATGCAGGCGGCGGTGCAGATGGTGATGACGCAGGTGGCGATGGGGGTGCTGCTGGCGACGCATCTGGGGACGACGAACGTGATGGCGAAGGGGTACGCGTACCTGATGCTGGCGCTGATCTGCCTGTACGTGATGGCGTTCGCCTGGTCGTGGGGCCCGCTGGGGTGGCTGATCGCCAGCGAGGTTTTCCCGGCGGAGACGCGGACGGCGGGGTTCTTCGTGGCGGTGAGCACCAACATGGTCTGCACCTTCATCATAGCGCAGTCGTTCCTGTCGATGCTCTGCACCATGAGAGCGGCGAGCTTCTTCTTCTTCGCCGGCTGGATCGTCGTCATGGGCAGCTTCGCGACGTTCCTCTTGCCGGAGACGAAGGGCATCCCAATCGAGGAGATGACTGACAAGGTGTGGAAGAAGCACTGGTTCTGGCGCCGGTTCTACGACCGCCCCAATCCCACGCCGGCGGCTTAATTAGCTTCATTAATTCATTTTTAATTTGTCAACATGCATGTCTTCTTAATTAATTAATTTTATTGTCTCTAGCTAGCTAGCTGGTCATTGTTATTTAGGGTTTCCAAATGGGGCTTAGATTAATATTGTAGATAGTATTTGCTGGCTGTAAATAATTATGTTAAGATATATAGTTGTTTCTATTTACTATTTTTGTATTATAATAAAATTTCTGTTTTTTCTGGAATTAATGGGGCTTAGATCAATTTTTTTGTTTTTTTAACTCCTCACAGGACCAAACCAGGTCATAGCCCCCAAGCAGTTTTTCAGTTTGTTCATTCGGTTAGGATAGCATCTGGAATTGATAAGAAAAAAAAAACACTTCCTTCTGTAGATAAAAAAGAATACATTTATGTATATGGCTCGCAACTACTTCTTGTTGGTTGGCTTGTTTGTGTTGAGTTAATTACTTGTTGGAAAATGATGGAATTTATACTTGTTGGAAAATGATGGAATTTATTGGAGTTATTACGGTGAGTTGGGAATTAGAGACTAATTAAATAAGTGTATTTAGAAGATTTATAAGAGTTGTATAAATGGTCTATATACTCTTTTTGATCAATTAAGTGTGATGAAATAAGTCACGGATGGCCGTGGTGTGGGGAGTGAACTTGTGACCATGAGGTCATGGATTCGAACTTCGACACCTACTGGTTCACCTATCACACATAGTTCATCTAGTGTAACTTGTTTATCAAGTTTAGTTTGCAAGAATTAGGTTCGGCCGGAGGTTTACTCAGTGCGCACTTTATCAAAAAAAAAGTGTCATGAAATAAGAAAAATTATTCCAAGCAAAACATGTGTTTTTGTTCTTCAATCATTGCGACCCCAATTTGAAGCCGTGCGCCAAAATAATTTAGAGACTATTTTTTATTATTTGTCTCGGGCTATGTCCATCGTTCATCAAATGAAACAAAATGGTGAAGAGGTGAGCAATATTCGTGTAATCGAAAAGATCATGAGGTCGTTGGACTCGAAGTACGATTTCATACTTGTTGCCATTGAAGAATCCAAAGACCTCGAGGCATTGACGGTGGAGGAATTGATGGGATTGTTACAAGCATATGAACGTCTAATAAATAAAGGAAGCGAGCAACCCATGGATCAAGCCTTACAAACCACCCTCTCACTGAAAAGGAGTGATTCATCTAAAAGAGCACCACAACGTGGTCGATTTCCACAACAAAGAGGGTGAGGTGGCCGAAGTGATAATTATAATGCACAAACTCAAGACAACATGTTTAATAAGGAGGGTCGTGGTCGTGGATCTAACCGGAGCCAATGAGGACATTGAGGCTATGGAAATGAAAGAGGTTCGGGATGGAGGAACAATAATTCTGGAATACAATGTCATGTGTGCAAGAAGTTTGTCGATAAGGAAGAAAGTGGTGAAGAATCCGTGGTGTTGATGGCAAGGAATGTATCAAATGCGACTGAAGAAGTTACAAGGTACCTAGACACGGGAGCTTTAAACCATATGGTGATTGGATTACCGAAAATGGAGCAATCCGGAAGGCTATGTGAGGGCTACATCATGGGAAAACAAAAAAGAAAATACAAATCAAATATAGCATTTTTCCCGACTCAATTTAAAGTGCACTCGGATGTATATTGACCGATTTCACTTCATTCCATTGGTGGCAACTGTTAAAAGAAGCAACACCACATCTAAATTTATTTTTTATATTTATCCTCAGTTTATTTATTCTCTGTTTTTTGTTTGACTTGGTATTATGTCAGTTTCGAGTTTGTTCCTATTTTATTGGCATTAGTTCCCTTTAGTTGGTATAATTGGTCCATCGTGTCTTTAAGGAGTTGATCACTCTATAAGTATCTTTCTCCCCTTGTTTTATTTTTTAATTAGAAGAATTTCAGTTGCATAATTTTGCACAAAAACCTTTCTGCATTTATCTGCCTTGGTGTGTTCTTAATCGAGTGTGTAAGCTTGGCATTTGAATGTTTAACAAAAGTAGTATCAGAGCCCGGTTAGATGGTGAAGTGAACTAGTTGGCATTGGACATTGGTTGTGGTGGTGGGTTCGCCCTCGTGACCTGCGAATGTGCCTTATGTCGAAAGTCTCCTGACGGTGTTGGGTCGGTCCCGATTGAGGTGATTAGGCAGCGGGTCCCTTTGTGAGAGGCGGTACAAGGTGGCAGGGAAGGTCCATTGGTTGGTCCTTGGTTTGAGGGGAGGATTGTTGGGTGCAAACCCAAGTCTCACATTGGAAGTTGTGAAAAAAATTACACGCCTTATAAGTCCCAAGTGAACTCACTAGAATGAGGCCTTTTGGAGGATATCCAAAAACAAATCCGTGCGGGCTCAGTCCAAAGCGGACAATATCATACTAGTGTTGAGTTGGCCCAGTGGAGTATGTCGCCGCATCAGCTTGTGTTTGTCATGCCATTTGGTTAAGGAGATTGTGTTAGTTTAATTAATTAATTAATCATATTTGAATTTTGATTATTTTTAAATTATCTTATATAATTAAACTGACTTTAAATTGTGATCCACTTTTCTCCCATTAAGTCTATCACATTCAAAATATACGTGAGAAGTGGCAGAAAAATCATGATGGACGATTTTTCTTTTTAATTATAAATACTCTCACATATGGGTTACTAAACCTACTCTCAGAAAATCAGAATACATCATCGCTATTTGAGAGTCAGGGTTTGGCAACGTCATCCTAGTGTTCCAAGATCTAGCAGCATCTTCACAAGGTTTCAAAGTTTGGCAACATCCTCCCAAGGGTTTCAGAGTTTGGCAACACCATCTTCTCACGGTTCCAATCTACTGTTCTTGAAAAGAAGATCTCAAGAACAAATTTAATTTTTAGCAATGGCTGGAAGTTTGTATAAATTTCGTTATTCGCTTCCGCTAACATATTTGGTTAGATGTTTATTTTTTTAACATTTGGTATCAGAGCTATTTTGCCTCTGTCTTACTTTAAATTTTCTTCTCATCAAATTCTTGATCAAAATTCGCTTTAATTTCTTATTTGGAAATATTTTGCTTTTTTATTTACAACAATTGCTTTGCAATATTTTCTTGATCAAGATCTGATCCTGCGATTTGAGAAGATTTCATTCTATTTTGGGAAAATTTTGAATTTTATTTTTGAAATTCTTTTAATGAAATTAATTTCTGTTATGTAAGCAATATGTGAAATTGCATGTTGAATTAGGTAGACAGTGGTTTAAATATTTTGTGTGCGCTTCAGATATGATATAATTATTTAAATTGCCTGCTCCATTTCGTCGCTTATACATACTGCAATTTAATTTGTCTGCAGCAGCTGTGTATATTCTTGCTGCATGTTTAAGTAATTAATGATTAATTTATTCTCTATATTTAAGATAATAGTCTGCAAATATGCTGTGAAACAAACAGTTACACAACAAATTCACATTAATTTCTTTTGATGCAATAAGGATTGAAATTATTGAAAACACTGTGTGTTACTGGATTTGGAACCATGTGAATTCATACTACACATGCATGCAGATTAATACATGCGGAATGATAAACAATTTTTGTTATTATTGCAATTTGCATAAAATTTCACAGGGAATTCTATTCGAAAATTAATGGGTAGGATTTTATAGGAAAATGATCAGGTATAGCAATTGTGTGGTTGTAGACCTTGAGTAGTTATCACAATTATTTATACTCTTTTTACTGGTGAGTTTTCAGGTCAAACAGAAGGATTTTAAGTCATGAATTTCAAAGGTAAAAATCTTGAAGAAAGCGACGAAATATGCAAGAAAGGATCCGCTTGCAGCGGGTTCGAAATTTAACTACTGAAAGCGGTAAATAAAGCAATAAAGATGAGCGGAAACGAGCGAAGCTAGAGGTGGGACGCCAGTGGTAACCAAATGATCGGGACGTGAGCGGAAGTGGGGACCAGGTGATCGGGGCATGGAAGAATCGCGGTTACAAGAGGATCGGGGCGTGAGTGAGCGGCACAATATATATATATATATGTATATGAGTGAATTAGAGTGAATGAGAGGTGCTGTGTCTGATCTGTGCGTTACTAAATGGATAGATTTCCCTGGATGAAGTGAGCGAATGATGTAAGTGTGTTATCGGAAGAATATATGTATATTATGGAAATGATAGGAGAAGGGTGTTGTAATTATATAAACTAAATTGTAAAGAACTCATCACACTGGTATTTTGGCCTGGGGAGGATTTACAACAAGACTTCAATGACACCCAGAATTAAGACATTATAAGAAAGAAACCCTACTGTCACTAGGAATTTCTGCGACCTAATAGACCCCCGTCTATGTCCCGTTAATTTTCTCAATTTCTGCCTCATTAGTGGCTTTACCCCCTGATGTTACTACTATTTAATCAAAATTGAATTTAGCACAGTAGTTAAGCAGGTCGACAAGGCTCCCGCGTACTTAACTACATTGAACTACCTTGAAACCGTTTTTGGCGCATAATAAGGCTTAGATAATCAATTCTTCTCTCGCTCTATACCAGTGAAATGAAATTCTCTAAACTTGATTTATATAAGTGTGGAAAATTGTGAAAGAATTTAATTTGAAGAAGTGAATGATATTTTTTATATACTACGAAAGCGTGAAATATTAGAACTACAAAGTTGTAAATAAAAGCAGTAATATAATCTAAGAAAGCAGTAAAGACGTGACCAAAGGAGAGGGGAGAACCCTACTCCCTTGGCCATTCCTGTGGAGAACTCCCTTACAGGGTTGGAGCTCTCTGAAACAGGAAGACGACGAATGCTACAAGTATGCATAAATCACCAAAAATTCGATTCTTTTACATAAAGATATCTGGCCCCATTTATAGTAGGTGTAAAGAGACGGTTGCAAGTAGTTGTTAGGCAGTTCCAACCGCTGGGCAGTTTGGCAGTTGCTGGTAGTTATTCTGTTGAAGTAGTTGCTGGCCATAACTCTCAGGGTGCCCGCTTCGCTTGTATTGAAGGT